GTGAGTAGGATGAAGTTTGTCTAAATGCTTAACTGATTATATGATTTTTATCCAACAGCAAATCATGAAAAGACTTATAAAACGTTATGTTTTGAAAGCACAAGTGGACAAAGAAAATGATGAAGTAAATGAAGGTGAGAGACATTGTAAACATAACACTTCCTGATACTGTTATGGAGAACCATACTATTATTTATTTTACTAGGTGCACTTAGCACAAATATGAAGTGAGAAATAGTATTCGCCACACAACATATACAGTGTCAATGGAAAAGATGGATAAAGATGGGAAAAAAGGATGTATTATTGTCCCCATTGGGATAATATGGGAACTGAAAAGATTCAGTGATTTGTCCAAAGTCATGCAGAAAGTCTGTGCTGTAGCAAAGAAATGGACTCAGCTCTTTTGGTTTAATACTTTAGCCATAAGACCACCTTTCCTCTCCATTTCATCTCAGCTGAACAGGTGGTATTGTATCATGCTGTGTATGATTTGTTTCCTCTCTTCCATAAAACCATGTTGAAATCACATTCAGCTATAAAGTTCCATGGCTCTGATAGAACCACGTCAAACTAGCTATGTAGTATGCTGAGAAGAGAGAAGCTGTGGTCACAGTCCATCTATAGTCCAAAATTCTCTGTAAAATGATAGAACAGATCTTTAAGCACCTTAAATCTTAAACAATTGAAGAGCTGCTGTCCTATTAGGCTTGAAAATAAATTGCTACAATATACCGTATATAATATTTTTTTATAAACAGGAATTTCAGTATGTTTGAGAACCAATAAAATAATGATGAAGGATAAAGATAAAACATTTGAAAACATTAAAGCCCCAAATTCTACCACTAATTAAACAGACAACTCTTGATGTGTCCTGTCATTGAACTACTTTCTGACTAAGACTAGAACGGAAAAGGGAAGCCACATGTGACACAAGTCCCACAGGTGCGGACCAGCTAGAAGTTGCAAAGAGTTGTACAAAAATAACTAATACAGTGTATAGTTCAAGTGGGCATTTTTTAACCAGATGCCTATATGTCTGTAGTTGTATCAAGAAAACTAAAGGTATAATCTCATTTTGGTATTTTTTGGACTTTGGTATGTACATACAGATGTATCTTCTGCAAAGCAGGAGAGATGTGACAAAAGGACAAACTTTTTGAGAAAGCACAAATCTTTTGGAACTATTTGCTCTATCGTGTATCTGCATATGGATTTAAGATCAAGTATTCAGAACGCTGAACCAAGTCAGGAGACCTACTTGTGATCTCAGCTTTTTCACTGATTCTCAGTGACCCTGGGCAACTCGTCTGAGCTAAAACTTCCAATTCTTCAGATATAATATAGAGATAATATACACTGTGCCATATTTACCTCACAGAGATATCGTGAAGTTTAATTCTGGGTTTTGAAGCATGTGAGATGTAAAGCACTGAGTATATTGTGAATAGAAAACCCTCTATAATTGCTAAGTATTATGATTTTTTCAAATATAGGAATATGGAGATTCCACTTAATTCTAAAGTAAATCGTGTAAGAGAACAACATAGGTCTTATTTTATCCCCTACACAACATACGTCAAACAGTTTCCTATTGGGTAGTGCATAAGAACGATCAGAATTCATGGCTGGGAGAAGAATGAACCCAAGACAGATTCCATCCTTGAACTGAGTGCTCTTCAATAAATGAGTGTTGTTGTTGATGATCAACCTAGACAGTTTTTGATCATGAAGGTTTCAATTGAAGTGCTATGTCAGTGCTTTTGGCAAATTGTAGCAACAATTTAAATACCCTGAATTTTTGTGTTTCTAAGGATGTGTGTGTTATTGAAGAGGACAGTCTCAAGAGATGTGAGTTGCAAGCGTGGCCAGTTCTGCCACACTTTTTCTGTGTGACCTTAGCAAGTCATGCCTTGCTGCTGCTTTCTAAAATGGGGATACTAATACTTACCAGCCTCTCAGCAGTGTTGCTAGGATTATTCGTTAACATTTGCAAAACACTTTGAGACGCTAAGATGCTCTTTGTACGTACAAAATAGTGTCACTGTGTTTCACTGAATTATTGAAATTCCAGTGTACTTATGGGTGTTTGGGTGAAAATAGTTCTGAAATATGCATTGCTTTGACTTAACAAAACTTCATGTAATGAATGTTTGATAAACAATGCTTAAAAATATTCCCTTCATTAATTGACACAGGTGAACTAAAGGAAATCAAACAAGATATCTCCAGTCTTCGCTATGAACTTTTGGAGGACAAGTCCCAAGCAACAGAAGAACTTGCAATCCTAATACATAAACTCAGTGAGAAACTAAACCCTAATATGTTGAGATGTGAATGATTCTAGAAATGATCCTTGGCTTCGACTACAGCACAACTATTTATTGGCAATAATATTTCTGAGTATCTTATACTTGAAAAATATATTGTAGATTTTTAGCGCTATATAACTTTATGTACAGCTTCTTTGAAATTTAACCTTAGGAAATTTTATTAGTTTACTACACAAAAAATACTCTGTTCATTTTTAATGTACTGAAATGTAAGAACTCTCATGACATTGTTTGCATTTATTCAGCAGGAGAGTACAAATGTATCTGAAGAATTATTTCATTGCTGGTATTTCAACAGTTTTATGAACAAACTTTGAAAATTATTTGCACTTTACAATTTGCAAAAATAAAACAAAGAAACATAAATAAAATCTACAGAGTGCACTGCATAGTACACTATTCCCTGAAACAACTGGTGTGAGTAAGATATAATATATAAGGAATAACAATGTGGGCCTTGGTAAAGGAACACTCAAATGTCTTTTATCAATGCTAAGTTATAGTTGAAGAATAGGCACTTGAAAGTTTCAAAACAGATATCAAAGTCTGAATATAATTTTAATAACACTGTTTAACATACAAATACTGTAGTTTGTTTCGTAATATGGCAGACTGTTTGCTTTCAACGCTGGGGCCTAGAGATCCTTTTTTAAAAAAAACAAAAAAACTTTTGAACGTAATGTGAACTCAGTGAAAAGCTACACTTTCATGTGGTAGAGATGATTTTTTTAAATTCAGATTCTATGCAGGGCTGGTATTTTGTTACACTGTTCTAAATGATGCCTCTGATGCTTACTTGTTAAATAAAAAATTCATACTTAAATGACTCCTTACCTGGTCCCAATAGTTCAGAACTAGATTTTGGACTGTATGGTAAAACTGTACAGCAGTCAAATATAGGCAGCACTTGTTGTGGTGTCTACAATTAAGGTTGCCTAATGTTTCCTATTATAAGACTATTTTTTTCAATGCTCAGAACTTTGCCAGACTTGAACTGCTCGATATTTCCATGCAAGGCAGACATGTTTTGCAGGAATTTTCAACCAAAGAAAGAAGAACGCAGCCATATCTGGAACAAAGCTAGAAAAAAAATACACATACACGTGTATATACCTGTATAATTGTTTTTATACATACATACACTATAATATATAAATAAATAATAAACAAACAAACAAACAAACAAACAACTTAATCTAATACATTACATATCTTATGTAGGAACTTTATATTATATAATACATAGTATTGTAATATATGCATATATAATATTTCTATATTATAAAATTAAAATAGATAATAGTATTAATATTTGCCTAGTGGAAACATATATACATGCACGTGATGCTGGGCAAATATTTATATATTATTGAAGTATAATATATTATTATTAATAAAATAATACTATATACATATATATATACACATACGTATAAGAAGTTCCTACATGATGCTGGGCAATTTTTTTTTTTTTATGTATGTTTCTCATTTTTAGTGGGAGTGCACAACATTAAAAGGTCTTGGACCAGATTTTCAGAAATGCTGAACACTCACAATGGAAGTCCTGTTCTGAACACATAAGCCACTGAAAAATACCGAGGACCCTCAAACCCGGCATTCAAACTTCATGGGCCCGTTTCACATGATTCTTGCTAGGCCTTTCATCCCCACCCACAAAAAATATTCAATACTGCCTCACAGAGGCCATGTGAAGCTAAGGCAATGCATGGGAAAAACCTCAAGACACTATAATAATGACGAGCTCCGTATGACACCCCCCAGACGGGGCTTATTAAGGCAGCAATTCTGGGCACGGATGAGGTTTACCACAGTAAATAAGATGTGGCACCATGGAAATAAAATTAAATCCTGAATTAACTGCTTACACTGTGCAGTGAATGAGGTGGTGGGGAGGGGCGGGGGTGCTAAAATGAGGTTCTCAAGCAAACTCATCAGGGAGCGCATTAAAGATGCATTTCCAGACTCGCCCTTGACTTTGCAACCTCCCTTTGCAACAGATTGCCTCCATGCAGCGCAGCACATGGCTGCTGGCCCTCCGCCGTGGGCACAATCACGAAGCCCACCCTTCCTCTCTCCTTTCATTCTCGCTTTTCTTTTTCTTTTCTCTGTCTTCTCCCTCCCTCTTTCTTTCCTTCCCTCCTTCTCTCCCTTTCTTTCTAACCCAGCGGTTTTCACCCTTGCCAGTCAGATGTCGACAGTCACAACACCCTTTCTTTCTCTCTGTCCGTCTGCCTAACCCGGTAGCTCTCGACCTCGCCAGGCTCCGGGACCCCTTGCGAGACTCAGGGCGCCGCTCAGAAGACGCAGCTCCGAGCTGCCCCCGGCTGGTGGAGAAGAGAAACACCCGGTAGCAGGAGCCCGCCCCGCCGCACGCAGGGGCCCCGCGCGGCTCCTCAGGGGAAACCAAGTGACCGATCGCCCCGCTGGGAGAACCCACAGCAGGCCGCAAACCGGACGCGACGCTTTAACCAATCCCACAGCACGTTTCATACCTACCCCCTCGTCCTGCCCAATACGAGGCAAGCTTGGAGCGACACTTTATCCAATCCCGCAGCGCGTTGTATGCCCGCCTCCTCTCCCTGGCCAATCCGAGGCCGGTTTAAGGCCCCCTCCCAGCTTTTCATTGCGCTTCCATGGTAACCGTAGCACCGCCACCTCCGGGCCTGAACAGAGGGGCCCGGGGAAGTGGCCGCCGCCGCCGCTGCCGTCATGGAGCTGGGCCTAGCTCTGGCCCGCGTGGATTACGTGCAGGTGACCCACGAGGCCAGCCCCCGTCCCGCGCTGCCGCGCCCGGCGCGGGATGGAGGGTCTTTGACTGGGCGGTGCCAGTGCTCTTGCTGAGGCCGAGGCTGGAGGATCCTGGCTACAGGGTCCGGCTCCTCTGCTGAGGTCCGACTGACAGACTGCCAGATTTGTGGCCAGGGAGGAGTTTGACTCCCATGATCGGATCGGTTCGGTCTGTGGGGGGGTTTGCCTCCCTCCGTAGCTGGGGCCTCGGGCGGGATCTCCTGAGCATAGTTGACAATATTTCGTAGGAGGAGGCGTTTAGCTGCTGTAGCACCTCGGCTGTGGCAGGGTGTTGGGGCTGCGTGGTGGTGGTGGCGCAGTTTCCTGTAAGCTTGTGCAGAGTTTAGATCGTGGTTTGTTAGGGGATGGTTTGTGCTGCTGCTGGGCGTAGGTTTGAGCCCCGTGAGGTGCAGCAACACCTGGGCTTGCAGCTGGGCCGTGGGGGAGTAGTGCAGTGGGACGCTTCCCCTTTGCTTGGCACTGGGGAGGCTGTGCCTGGAGTCCGGTGTCCAGTTTGGGGCCCCTGCTACAGAAAGGATGTGGTCAAGCTGGGCAATGAAAATGGTTCTGAGCCTGGGACATGACTTGTAAAGAAAGACTGGGGGAACTGGGATTATTTAGTCTGGAGAAGAGAAGACTGAGAGGGGCCTTAATAGCAGCTTTCAACTGCCTGAAGTGGGGTTTGAAAGAGGATGGAGCTAGACTGTTCTCAATGGTGGCAGATCTCAGAACAAGGAATAACGGTCTCAAATTGCAGCAAGGGAAGTTTAGGTTAGATATTAGGAAGAACTTGCTCACTAGGAAGGTAGTAAAACAGTAGAACAGGGCTGGGATGGCTGTGAGTCAAGAGTGAGGGGCACTGGCAGGGCCAGGAGGCTATGAGCTGAAAGTGAGAGGCAACAGCTTGGGCAGGGCACTGGCATATCAGGGCTGCTCAGCACCACAAAGTTGCAGGAGGGACAGCTACAGCTGACCTCGTGTCCTGGTGAGCAAAGGGGACAGGGGGAGCTCTGATTTTCAATGATACAAAAACCAAAATCAAACAACAGAATAAATGGGTACTTAGAATTTATTTTATTATAATGATTGAGGCACTGGTAGGCTTCTAAATTGCTTTAAAATGTAAATATAACAATAAAACACTGTGTTCAACTGATACTTATATATATAGATAAGTGAAATGCCACATATATATATAAATGCCATTTATATATATGTGTGTGTGTGTGTATGAAACATCACTTTTATAGATATAGATAGATATAAGTAGCGTTTCATTTTATCTCAGAAAAAATGTGGATTTTCATTTTTTTAGCCAGAGAATTTGTTTTTGGTTTTTGTTTTTTAAATCACAGAATTTGTGATTTTTAAACAGAGAAAACCAGGATCACAGCTCGTTAATAACCATCTCTTTTAATGATTTGATTCTTTCAAGTATTAATCTGTTTATGCTTGTTTATTTATCAACTTTAAAAAGCTGTCAATGGGACAGGAATTCACATGTCTAAGGCTGCTTGAAGATGTTTAAAAAATAAAAAAGTGGCACTTTAAACTTGGCACGCTCATGCACTGAGCCCAGCATGTGCCCAGAAGAGACAGTGCATTAGTTGGACTTGGCTCACCCAACCTCTGTATAGGTTGTGTATGCTTTAGTGGGGCTTTTGGGCATTTTATCTAGTAGCTGATTGAATCAGCTTTAGCTAAAAGTGCCGAAAAGCCCTGCTGAAGCACCCAATCTATAACAACACTGCAGAACCAGGTTAAAGTAACGCGCTGCTGCTTCTGGTAAAGTGTGCTTTTGTTTTGTTTTTTTAAGGTCTGCAAGCAGACTAAAACAGTTGCCAAAATTGGTGAATTAGCAGAATTGTTCAGCAAATACAAAGCAATGCAACTTTCAAAGAGTTGACCAGTCTACCATGACAAGTCTTTCTGTATCAAAATTATGGCACATCTTTTCTGTTGTGCAAGCAGTCTTGAATTTGTGGATAAATGTGTGTGCCACATATCTGGAAATAGTCTCCAGAGTTGTTAAAAAGACTGGTACTTTTACAAACACCAATACATGAAAAATGTAGAATAAAAAGGATGGAGAAAGTACAGTGGTTAAAGGTGTACAGTGGTTAAAGGTGACATTTAAATATATCTGTGAGTTCTATGTTGTAGAGCATTAGGGTTCAGCGTTCAGGTAGTCCCAGCTCACCTTTCGTATGACTCTGGTTAGATAGAATATTCTCCACAATGTATATAACGAGAAAATGTTATCCCTAAGACCTTTTTTGTTTTAAGTGTAGATGTTGAAATGTTTTCCATAATGTGGTGATTTTTTTCAAATAGGTGGGAGTGACATCTCAGAAGACCATGAGGCTCCTCCCAGCATCAGGACGTAGGGCAACACAGAAGGTAGTGATTTTCTAGAAGTGAAGAGCTTGTTCTTTTTAAATTGTCCGTTTTGTTTTTTCTTACAGATAAATGTTATTAATGCAGTACAGATTATCTTTTGACCTCTAGCTGGGAAATTGAACACATTTTCTCCCAGCTGATGCTGTTTAAAGATTTGCTGATACCCTTGTTTGTTTGGTGGGCTTTTGGGGCTGTTGTTTGTTTGATGTTATTAGCTAAGAATCATTATGGAACATGGGAGCTTTTAAAAAAATGTTCTTGTAACTACAGGTTTATGATTTCTTTGTGGAAAGATAATATTGGAACAGGCAGACTCTGGAGAAGTAATGATGTACTTTCTTTAGTACATTTTTGGTAACAAAGAAATAATACCATCAAACACAGGAAAACCTTTTTTATTTTCCCCCAAAATGCTTTTGAACATTCTGTTGTGTGATAGCTGGACTTTAATTAACAATTGTGAAAAAAAATTATTATTAAATTATGGTAGTAAAATAATTGTTAGATATTAGATTCCTAGATTATAGGACTTTATTAGTCTTTATATCTATAAAGTGCCCTGTCATGCCTTATTAACATCACTTAGTGTAGTGTTTGGTAATGGTTACTTTCTGTGCTGCAGATCCACATATCTAATATAAAGAAAATTCTTCCTTTTTAAAATATCTATAGGAGGAATGCAAAAAATAATCAAGCTAATTATGTGTTATATTTTTAAGGCTGTTATTGGAGATCAAGATGGTGTAATTACATGTTTTGGCATCAAAAAAGGAGAAGCTGTGGTAAGTTCAGCTATTTATGTAGTTAATGTGATTCTTTGTGGTATGTAGGGGTTTTTTTTTTAATCCATTCCCAATCAGGAGGTACTACTTCACTGTCATGGTGGCTAGGAGCTGGAACCAACTTCCAAGGGAAGTGGTGCTTGCCCCTACCCTGGGGGGTCTTCAAAAGGAGGCTAGACAGCCACCTACGTGGGGTCATTTGACCCTAGCATCCTTTCCTGCCCATGCCAGGGGGTTGGACTAGATGATCTGGTTAGGTCCCTTCCTACCCTGCCAACTATGAAACTATGAATACTGTACATAATAGAAATTAAAAGCCAGCTGGGGTTTAGGAGAAGAGAAAGGTAATGAAGATACATTAAGATACAAAGCTGAACATTCTGTGTTAGTGGTTTTATCTCAGAATACACATTGTGACTTAAAGTGACATTTAATATGTAAGTGACTTGTGTAAGCTAATTACATTTCAGAAGCCTTAGACTTGTAGACAGGTATCCAGCTTACTTAAACAACTATAATGACATATATCCTGGGTGACCTTCTGGCTAATTGATAAGAATTCTACAGCCATGGAAAGAAAGATTTCTCATTACTAGAGGTCATTCCCCTGGAATAAGAACATAGTATTTTAGTGGAGTACTGTTAGGAAGCTTGCACTGCTACTGATTGTACTGCACATATTATATGGATAAATAGTAGTTAACTCTCATATCTTCTTTATGTAATCTTTTCAGCAAATAAAGTTAATTTATTAAAGACTGATATCTTCTTTGATATTATGGAGACATGAGATTAATAATATTAATAAGATTAATAAGATTTAACCAGGTGCCTGTTATGGAAATCACTGGAATGATGCTTAGTGTTCTGAAGTGGATTTGGTGTCTTCTGTATTAAAAAAAGATTGTAAATGCAATATTTAGGTACTTAAATATCACTTTCCTTATTGACTTCCATAGCCAGTCTTCAAGACATTACCAGGGCAAAGGATCACAAGGTTGGAGCTGGGAGGAGCTCTTAATACACCGCAGGAGAAAATTTTTGTGGCTGCAGGATCAGAGGTTAGAGGTTTCACAAAGAGAGGGAAGCAGTTCCTTTCATTTGAGACTAACCTCACGGAAAACATCAAAGCTATGTACGTGCAGTACTTTTTTGTTTAAAAAAATAAATATATATGTATATATATGATAGCAAAAGTAGTTTGTTAGACAGTCCTTTCATAGTTGCCATTACCTATCACAGAGCTGTCCAGCTGGTAGCTCACAGGCCACATGGAGCCTCATGGGTGAGGGACTAATGTGGCCCATGGGTTCCTGTCTGGCCATTGCTCCCTTTAATGCTTTTGATGCAGTGGTGGCTGGGGTCTCTAAGCTCCCCCACTTCTCTCCCCCACCTCCCTGGCTTCCACTTCCTGCTCCCACTCTTGGAGGTGGAGCAGCACAGTGGGATAGGGTTGGAGTGCCTGTGCTGCACATAGTGGCAGAGGGGGAAGCGGCCCACATGGCACTCAGTGGGGGACCTGGCTATCTATACTGTGCATGCAACAGGAGAGAGCCATGCTACTCATGCTGGGCAAGTGGCAAGGGCAAGAGTCAGGTTGTCTGTACTGCATGTGGCAGTAGAGGGGAGAGCTGCCTGCACAGTTCACTCAGCCAGGGGTGAGGTGAGGCTCTGCACAGTGGAGGTGGGGGCACTGCCCATGTGGTGTGTGGACCACTAGTCTGGGGCCTATGTGGCATGTGGCTCCCAGAAGCCAAGAAATTGGATGGCTCTGACCTAACACATTGTTTTGCTGGTAGGTAAAACAAAGTGGCCATTTAGATTAAGTATATCCTGTTAAGTCCTGTATATTGTTATGTTCAGTAAATTATTTTTGCATTTTTTTCACCATATATTGCTATCCATTCTTTTTTTCTCCCAATTAAAGTGTCATTTTATCTTTCCTTCTGAAGTCAAATAGGTAGCATCTCCACAGAACTCTTAGACAGAATTCTAAAAGATTTTGGCCCTTAAAGGTGTCAGTAGTGAGTGAGTACAGGTGTGAATCCTTTTCCAAACAGTTGTTAGGTATTAGCTGAATTCACTTAAGAAATCAGAGTGATTGATGTAAGAGGATGTGCACAACAATGTCCAAAGGGATAGTAGTCCAATTTAAAAAAACCTGAGTTTTTTCATATTTTTTTTTCTTCGAAGTATGGTAAAGGATGGCCGTTTCAAGGAAGGAAAAACGGTTTTTAAAAGCAGTTACTATTAAAGTGTTAATTTTTAACATATCCATATCTGCGTAGCATGGGGATCCAGTCCAAATCCCACAAACAGCATTATCGGGCTGTATAATAGGGCTTCACAGTATCTTTGACATCTCTGGTGTAAAATGATCTTTTAGTTAACTTGGCTATTTTCTTCTCTGTAAATTTTCCTCCCATTAACCATGTTTAAATGGTGTTCAAGTATAATTTAACTGTAAGTCCAGAAGAGGGCCAACTTTGAAAACTTCTAATCAAGAGAAAGTAGCAATCCAAGATGTGAATAGAAAGGAAAATTGGAGTTTCTCTAATGTATGAAAGTTGATAGAAATGTTATGTTTATGTCCAAATGAAAATTAGATGAGTTCCAAGTAAGAGCCACAAGGTGGCAGTAAGTAAAGAAATGAGTAACTTTATTATTCAGACTTTATTATTCAGACAGTTCTGGTATACAGATTAAAATACTGGAATTCACGAAGCCTTCAGGCGTATAGGCTGCTTACATACGTTAAAAAAAAACAAAACAAAAAACCTGAGCTTTACCAGAAGAAGCAGCGCATTATTTCAGCCCAGCTCTGCCACTTCTGTATAGATCAGGCACTTCAGTGGGGCTTTTTGGCACTTTTAGCTAAAGTCGATTCAATCAGCTGTTGAAAAAAAATACCAAAAAGACCCCACTCAAGCACTCAATCTATACAGATGTTGGGTGACCTGGGTCCCACTAAGGCACTGCCTCTTCTGGGTGTGTTCTGGGCTCAGTGCAGGGGCATGCCAAGTTTAAAGCACCGCTTTCTTTTTACCATCTGCAAGCAGCCATGTTGCTACATTCCTGCAGCTGTTTTTCTTGACATTAGGGCACCAAACCATATTTGTATTGCGCCATCAGATCAGACCTGCCGCAGGCCTCAGGCTGACCCTACTGTGGCTGGCATAGGGATGTCTGTTAAATTTAGTTGAATATATCCTTAGTAAATCTACTGTCCTTTTAAAAAAAATAATTAATTTAAAAAAGCCTTTAGTGCTTCTGTTAAGTCCAGCATGGAGATAACTTCTGATTTTTTTTTCCCCTTGATACTGCTCTAAAATGCTCCAGGGAAAGCTTGTCTGAACTACGTTTTAATCAAAAGAATTAAAAAAATAGTTTTGGTTTTGCCTTCAATGCAATTTTGTCTTTAATGCAATTTTCTGCATTAGTCTCTTAAAGGAGTTACTAGCAGACACATGCAGAGACAGATGGTAAACCATAAAAACACAGAGAAATCATGGTTTTATAACTTGTTGAAAATAAGTCTCAGCATTTAAACAGGCTAGTTGCTTATTTTTGCTTACTGAGGTCCTGAATAGGCAAACCATATGCACGTGTAATTTTGCACTTTCTATATAATGGGACCTAAGAGAATATTACAGAAAACATTGACAAAATACTTTTTTTTCTTTTTCTCAGGCATATATCAGGAGCAGACCTTTTTCTTTGTGCAAGCTATATCTATAACCATTACTGTGACTGCAAGGACCAGCACTACTACCTATCAAGCGATAAAATCAATGATATTCTCTGTCTTCCAGTAGAAAAGCTCAATTGCGTAACACCAATATTGGCCTGTCAGGATAGAGTCCTTCGAGTTTTACAGGTTAAAAACACTTTCTTGTTGTTATTATAAGTATTAATACCACAAAACCTTATTCTTCCTATTGATTACAAGAACCCTTGTGAATAGCTGGGTCATTAAAATGACCATCACTATAAATATTCTGCTATGCATCTTGTACTAAAATAGATTTCTTTTATTTCCATTAAATCTGCTGAGCAGAAAAGAGAGAGTACTGTTTTTTATGGGAATTATAGTCTTTGTAGACCTTACTGAAGAAACAAGTAGTGAACTTTCACTTTAAATATACATATGTATATATGATTATATTTGCTCAGACCCTGATTGTACATTTTCCCATATAGTTATCTTCAAGCACTTGAGTAGTCCCATTAGTTTCAAAAGGGCTGTTCACATGAATAAAAATGTAACCTGTGTTTTCAGGTTCAGAGCCTGAGCCTGTTTCTTATAATACATATTCAAATCAAACATCTATAGACATGAGTAGCCAGGTAATAACATTATTTATTGAATGACATTCTTTACATATTATGGTTGCATGAATTTTCTGATTATGTTACCAGAAAAATGACTAAAAAACACTAATAATATAATTTAAACCTTGTATTTACTACTTCTTTTTTTAGTAAGTTCTATTCTCCACTTATACAAATCTCAGTCTTTGGCAGTTTTGAAAGGTTCCCCACACAAACTTACAGTATTTTCGTACTTGAAGTGTAACCATATATGTAACACAGCATATATTTATCTATGATCAAAAGTGCTTATTAGAAATAAAGTTATATTTTTAAAAAGTCATTTATTTCTGTCTTTAGGGGTCTGATTTGTTATATGAAGTAGAAGTTCCTGGACCACCAAGTGTTCTTGCCTTAAACAATGGAAATGGTGGTAAATATGTCTTTTAATGTACATGTCATGAAATTGTTCATGAAATCTATCCATTAATAGTTGTTTCAAATACAATTACATAAAATTATATAAGTTTTGATAGGAATGTGACTGTTATGTCAGAGCATTTTTAATTAGTACAGGATGTGGGATTGTACAAAGGGGATTATACAAAAATGTAGAAATTATTAAACATCTGTCAGGCACCAGCTTTCGTATAGTTCTGAGACATGATAAATACTCCATGTGCTAAAAGGTAAAAAGATGTATATTTTTATCATTATGTGATCATCTGTTGTTTATTTTGATGTTCAGTTTAATAAAACAAAAAGAAAAAGTCTGTAAAAAGTTCCCATCTTCAAAAAAGGGAGGAAGGAGGACCCGGGAAACTATAGGCCAGTTAGTCTTACCTCGATCCTAGGCAAGTTGTTAGAGAAAATTATTCTGGCACACATCCAGGAGGGGCCAGCAGGGGACTGCATGCTTAGGGGCAACCAACACGGGTTCATCAGTGGCAGGTCCTGTCAGACCAACCTGGTGGCCTTTTA